TACTCCGGAGCAGGGTCTAACCAGCACAACTGGTACTAATCGTGACGCAAGTAGACATTGATTGGCCAAACGCGTACAAAAAAGGCCCTCACCCGCCATGATTTAAAACGCTGTACTGTAAACATTGCGTCAACTTATTTCGCAAGTATGGAGAACAGCGATAGATGGACGGATGCTGAAGTGCAGGCACTTGTAGCAAATGTAGCACTGCCAGTTGTCGTTGGAGATTCTTAGTCCTCCTTTCAATCGCTTTACGTATACGTCGACATTCCATGTCCATTATTGTGAAACCCACGAGACAGAGCTCCGATAACAGCGTCCTCCATCCTCCTGTTGTTAATGTTGTTGAAGGCCGCGCACAAATGACGTCGCTGTCGACCGGTTCCTAGTACACACCGTCGGTGTGAATGTAACCCTTTAAATAGTACTGGGAAATAGTTCGCGCAAAATCTTCCCAGTACTTTAGTACTGTCCATTTAGTTCTGGAACTAAAGCGGTGCGAAAGGCCCTATTGACTCTGCAAACACTAGTCTGAGCGGCACAAAGCCACACGGCAGACAGCGTGTGTCACGACAGTAGAGTCACTGATGTATTGTCAGACTTCTATGTAACGTATTTTTTCATTCACACATCTGTCATCCAAACACGAATAACTTGTGGCCGGACGGGTGACGAGCCGGGTGAGGTCAAAGTTCAGGATCTTTGGAGTTTAGAAACTGGGTTTGCATGCAATGAACATGTCGGCCATTAAATCCGCTGCTTTGCTTGATCTGCTGCTAATTGCGCTGTGCAGCGGCTGTCACAAGGTCATGTACAATCTGGGGATATGCTATTAATATGCAAACAAATGTAATTTTCCAATGGGTGCGGTAAAGGCTTGCACTAATTATTCCATCAATCCCAGATTTACATCTTAATTAAAGATTTTTATCTCATTGAAGGTATGGCGACGGTGGAACATAGATGTGACTGGAGTTTTTTTCTCTCTGACGTGTAAAACTCCACAATGGTCTTCACGGTACTACAGGAAGGCAGAACAAAGCTGCTTTGTCACCTCTGGAGAACTTTATCTGCGTCTATACACCGCTGTCAGAAGCTCGGAAATGCTACAAATGCTGACTCGATCCAATTTGTGCAACCAAACCCGTACTTGCTGTACAGATTTCGCAGAAGAGATGACGATGTTTTGTGTTTCTTTTGAAGCTTCCAATGACAACTCGTGATGAAGTACAGACACGTTTGTAATACTTGTCAAAGTCTTTTAATGGTGTAACTGTGTAAATGCACAATTAGTTGACGTAAAATCTGATTGGATGAGCCACGTCTGAAGCAGTTAAAATATCACAACTATTGAGGCTTTTAGTCTATTAGTTTTGAGGTAATTTTTTTTATGTAAGCAGTCTTTTAAATTACTCAAAATGAACTTATATACACTGTGGATCCAACTTGTGCAACCGAAGCCACACAGTCCCTCACACTGTACAGTTTTAGCGTTTCTGTACAGACATGTTTAGAATGCCGGTACAACAACTGTCGAAGTCTTTTAGTGGTGTAATTGGTCTTAAAAATGCACAGTTATAAAACTAAAAGTTATGACAAAATCTGAATTTTTGAAATCTGACAGGATGAGCAATGAACCCAGTAAGAAAATTTACAACAATTGAGGCTTTTAGTCTATTAGAGTTGAGGTCATTTTTATGGCATCAAACTCCTAAAATATTCAAAATTACCTTATATAAACTACCATTTAAAAGTTCAGGGTCAGTAATGTATTTTTCTTTTTAAAAGAAAATAATGTTATTCAGCAAGTATGCATTAAATTGCAGACATGGAACTACAGGAAGGCAAAACAAAGCTGAAGTACAGAAGCATTTGCATTGAACATAGATTGACTGTCAAAGACTTTAAATGGTGTAATTGTACTTAAAACTGCACAATTATAAAATGAATAATTGTGACGCATGATCTGATTGGATAAGCAATGTTTGAAGCCCTTAAGATTTAAAAAAAAAAAAATAAATAAAAAAATTAACAACAATTGAGGCTTTTGGTCTTATTTCTCTGGTTATTGTTATATTGGCGTACTCCTAAAATGCTCAAAATTAGCTTATATAAACTACCATTCACAAGTTTGGGGTCAATAATGTATTTTTATTTTTTTTGAAAGAAAAGAATGTTATTCTGCAAGTGTTTTATTTGTGTAATTTTACTTAAAAATGCACAATTATAAAATTAATAGTGGTGATATAAAATCTGATTGGATAAGCAATGTTTGAAGCCCATAAGATTAAAAATAAAAATGAAGCTTTTAGTTTTAAGGTCATTTTTATGTTAGCATACTCTTAAAACATTTTAAATCAACTTTCATAAACTACCATTCAAAAGTATGGGGTCAGTAATATATATATTTTTTTAAAGAAAATGTTATTCAACAAAGATGCATCAAATCGTAGATGTGTAAAACTTGATGTCTTCACAGTACTACAGGAAGTCAGAACAAAGTGGTTTTATCACCTCCGGATAACTTTATCTGCGTCTATACACCGCTGCCAAAAGCTCGGAAACGCTACGACTGCTGACTCTGGATCCAATTTCCCTCTCACTACAGATACCGCAGACAAAAAGACAATGTTTTTCGTTTCTGTTGAAGCTTACAATGACAATCCGTACCCTCAGGCCTTGTCGCCCCCATAGCACGATCTCAACCGGTCCGGGCACACACACACACTTATGTCAAAACCTTTCCCATCTCTTTCCAGCAAACACTCCAGATATTAAAGAGCATGTTCGGCGATCACACATGCTCATCCTCCCCCGGTTTGACTGAATGCAGCCCACTCTCTGACGGGAGTTCATCCAGTACAGGAGGGAGCAGAAAGCCCTGATGACAGCAGATAGGCAGCGTGGGGTGGCGGTAAGCCAGCAATAGCCAGACACTTCCTGACGGCAGTAACCGGCCCCCATGACCAGCTGCTGCCTGGGGATCAACCGGAGGTAAGAGGCAGAAATGACGGGAGCGGAAAAAAGAAAAGAAAAAAGACTAGTGAACATGTGGGGAGGCCTGTCACCTGCCAAGTCCTGCATGAGGTAGTTGAAATGGCAGCCACCAGCGACGCAGCGCTCTGATTGGCTGGCTGGGCTCCAGAATTCCCTGAGGTGTCTTAAAGAGTTCATAAGTGAATCCTGAGTGGAAGGTGACGAAGTGCAGACACGTTTGTAATAGGCTTGCTGCGATAGACGGTGTTTTCGGTTATACCGGTGTTAAGCCGCAACACCAGTTATGTCATTTGCCTACCGTGGCACCGGCCCCCACCGTCGTTTAGATTTATTTATAGTAACAAAAATCATTTAGCCTAGTTCAGTTAGAGGACAGACACTTTTAAAAACGAAACGCTCAATGCAGCGTGCCGAACCGTGCGCGAACGACAGTGCACCACGGAGCAGGAGTCAGATTTTATTATCACGTGAGGAGAGTGAGTCGAGCTGACTGACATGAGTGAGGTGAGAAAGACAAGACTATGGCAGAAGATTGTTTAGAAAGGAAATTCAAAGGCGCCTGTTTGCCAATATTTTAGATTTTGAAAAGCCTATTGACTGGAAGTTTTTTTAAAACATTCGTTTCTTATTTATTTGGTTCCACAGTGTTTGCTGATTACTTTATTTAAACTTTGTGTATTTTATTTATTTTACCGCAAGGTGTATATGCCGTGCCTCCAAGCTTTCTTATTCGTTTTGCTAATAAACGTTCTATGTTTCTTATTTATTTGGTTCCACAGTGTTTGCTGATTTTCAGTTTTATATACCCAAGTAATTTGTTATTTTATTAGGCATATATGATGCATTTTCTTTTGTTTTGTTAATAACAGTTCTGAGTTTGACGTTGTTGTTGCTTGAATTGAATCAACGCTGAATTGCCGCTAGTTTGAAAGTGAAAGTAAAACGCGCACGGTGCTTTTTCAAGCTATTTGAAAGCCAAGAAATCCAAGGAAAAGAGGGAAAACTCAAACGAGCAATCCACTTTTTAAGTCTGACGTCACATGTCACCGCGTCCAAACTCTCTATCAGATACCACGAGAAAACAACAAAAGGTGATATATTACTACCAAAAAAAAATTATAATCCTAACCTTTAACTCCATACCAAAATCCCAGGTAGACAGACAATGAAAATATAAATAAATAAATAAATGTAAAAATTATTTGTTTGGGACACTGTGGGCATGGAGACTGTAGTGTACACCGTAAGTTTGAAAACGTTTAGCTTAAATGTTTAATATGAATAAACAGTGCTCATAAACGGCTGTTGAGGTAGTATTCTCAAGTGAAGCGCGTTGAGTCTTGGTGACAGTAAAAAAAAAAAAAAGTGACAGTAAGTACACATTTGGAATGTTACAAAAGCTAGAATGTTAAAATACTTCAATTTTAAATAAATGCTGTTCTTTTGAACTTTCTATTTATCAAAGAATTCTGAAAAAAATGTATCATTGTAATCATGAATCATTCTACTGTAATGATATTTCATTATTAAATTTTTACTGTATTTTTTTTTTAATCAAATATACACAGCACTGGTGAGCATAAGAAACTTCAAAAACATTTAAAAAGCCTTCTTAACACAACTTTTGAACAGCAGTGTTCGGATTAAATATTTACAGTCTCTGTCTTCTAGCAAAATTATACCAAAAAAAAAGTGATGACTCATCCTGCACTACATTTATTATTGTCCAATCAAATGCTTACTAGAATAAGAATGTCCCTTCCCAGAAACCGATTAACCAATCAGCAGCTAATCACGGTTCACGGCAGTGACGAAACCAAAGCATACCGACTAAAAAAGGGGACACTCTTCAATATGACCAGTATATTTTCATATTTAAAAATACAAGAACAACCGATCTCTTAAACACCATGTAATGCTTTATTTTTCCAAGACATAGCAAGCATATTTTAGTGTGCAGAATAACTGTTCTGGTCTGTGTAAGAGGAATGACATTGACTTACTTGTTATGCAGGACACACCAGCCGCAGTGAGGATCCCCTGAGCCCAGACACGTCTCACAGCTGCTGTGCTGAGAACAGCTCTCCACAGACAGACGACTCACCTGAAACACATAACAAACATTAAACTGACATTACCAGAACACTACCACAGACAAACAGATCATCTCTGCTAGTCAAATCACGTTGATTTATTGACAAATACTTCTAAATAATTAATTTTTGGGAACACATTGTATTGTTTAACAACAGCAATAATTAAAACATTTTAATACAAAAAACTAATTCATTCATTCATTCCAGATGCCTTAAGTTTAACAGCCATCCAATCAGGTTTAGCAGTCCGAGTCATGTGACACATACCCTGCTATTGGAACGTCTCTAGTTAGCTAGTGAAATCAGTTCAATTAATTGACATGAAGAGTTTATTTTAAATTAAACTGATATATTTTATTTGTAGGAATAGAATGCATAAAATACCTAATAACAGAACGATATGACTGAAATAGGTGATATTATTTATCAATAATGAATACTCTTTATTAATGTGTTTTTAATAGTTCATAAGATGTCAATTTAGGACCAAATAATTTAAATAACAAAAAGAGATCATATGAATAAACAGTGCTCATAAACGGCTGTTGAGGTAGTATTCTCAAGTGAAGCGCGTTGAGTCTTGGTGACAGTAAAAAAAAAAAAAAGTGACAGTAAGTACACATTTGGAATGTTACAAAAGCTAGAATGTTAAAATACTTCAATTTTAAATAAATGCTGTTCTTTTGAACTTTCTATTTATCAAAGAATTCTGAAAAAAATGTATCATTGTAATCATGAATCATTCTACTGTAATGATATTTCATTATTAAATTTTTACTGTATTTTTTTTTTAATCAAATATACACAGCACTGGTGAGCATAAGAAACTTCAAAAACATTTAAAAAGCCTTCTTAACACAACTTTTGAACAGCAGTGTTCGGATTAAATATTTACAGTCTCTGTCTTCTAGCAAAATTATACCAAAAAAAAAGTGATGACTCATCCTGCACTACATTTATTATTGTCCAATCAAATGCTTACTAGAATAAGAATGTCCCTTCCCAGAAACCGATTAACCAATCAGCAGCTAATCACGGTTCACGGCAGTGACGAAACCAAAGCATACCGACTAAAAAAGGGGACACTCTTCAATATGACCAGTATATTTTCATATTTAAAAATACAAGAACAACCGATCTCTTAAACACCATGTAATGCTTTATTTTTCCAAGACATAGCAAGCATATTTTAGTGTGCAGAATAACTGTTCTGGTCTGTGTAAGAGGAATGACATTGACTTACTTGTTATGCAGGACACACCAGCCGCAGTGAGGATCCCCTGAGCCCAGACACGTCTCACAGCTGCTGTGCTGAGAACAGCTCTCCACAGACAGACGACTCACCTGAAACACATAACAAACATTAAACTGACATTACCAGAACACTACCACAGACAAACAGATCATCTCTGCTAGTCAAATCACGTTGATTTATTGACAAATACTTCTAAATAATTAATTTTTGGGAACACATTGTATTGTTTAACAACAGCAATAATTAAAACATTTTAATACAAAAAAATAATTCATTCATTCATTCCAGATGCCTTAAGTTTAACAGCCATCCAATCAGGTTTAGCAGTCCGAGTCATGTGACACATACCCTGCTATTGGAACGTCTCTAGTTAGCTAGTGAAATCAGTTCAATTAATTGACATGAAGAGTTTATTTTAAATTAAACTGATATATTTTATTTGTAGGAATAGAATGCATAAAATACCTAATAACAGAACGATATGACTGAAATAGGTGATATTATTTATCAATAATGAATACTCTTTATTAATGTGTTTTTAATAGTTCATAAGATGTCAATTTAGGACCAATTAATTTAAATAACAAAAAGAGATCTGAAAATTAAAATTCCAGATTTATATTAATATAATAATAAATGTAAATATTTTCACACATAAAAATGTTTAAATATACAAATTCTATATTAAATAAATATATACAGCACATACATACAGTAGATTCACATATACATAAATAATAGTTTTCGGATCATATGGCCCTAAACTGATGCCTTAAGTATGATTTTACTGTTTTTGGTGCCTCATTTCTATTTAACAGCCATTCACTCAGGTTTAGCGATTCGAGTCATGTGACCCATGCCCTGCCATTGGCTATAGTAGAGTCTCTTTCAGCCCTAGAACACAGCAGTTACGGTGGTTCTCAACACGTGCCCTCACTTAAACCTCTCGTCATCCCTCCGAACCACACAAACAAGTTCAGCTGCTTGTAAACACTTTCAAACATTCAGGCTTTTCCTTTACAGAAGGGCACAGCGGAGACGGAGCAATGCAGCCGAACGGCAGAGCATCAGCACAGTCAACTCACACGGAGGAAAGAAAATATCATAAAAAAAGCTTGGGGGGGAAAAAGAATGAGATGTCCAGGGGACAGTAATACAAGCGCTGCAGATGCGAAGATTTGCACGGGAGAAACACCCTCGCCAAACAGGACAGGCGTATTAGAAAAATGAATCAGCTCCCAAAACACCATCTTATATAAAATGATGATGGGAGTTCGAGAGAGTGGGAGGTCTAGGACAGAAATCACATGAATATATTAAATCTAAAAGAGCGGTTTGTGGATCAAAGTTGGTGTGGGCTGTCGCAGTCCCAATGATTGGCTTCCTTAAGACAGAAAAAAAAGCCTAAACCCAAAAGCAGTTGTTTTTGAAAACCGCCTTTAGAAGCTCTACAAATGCTCATTCCATGGAGTTGTAATCGCTTTTGATCACTGGCAAGATTAGAGTGAGAAAAACCAGAGCTGCGGGGCAAAAAAAACACACCCACCCAAAAGTGACACGGCTCGGCTTTCAAGTGGAGAGTAGAGGATGGCTCTTCTGCACTGTGTGTGTGTGTGTCTGTCTCAAGACGGGCAGGTGAGGTGTAGTCTGTTGAATAATTTATTCTGCTACATAGCGATGCATAAATGTACAGTTTTATAATCCAGTCCAGACATCTGATTGACAGCATGATCAAAATTGACCTCATTTACTTCCTTAGTGTCCCATGGAACACGAATAAGTCTCTTATGCTCACCAATGTCACATTTACTTGATCAAAACTACAATAAAACGGGGGGAAAAAAGAATGAGATGTCCAGGGGACAGTAATACAAGCGCTGCAGATGCGAAGATTTGCACGGGAGAAACACCCTCGCCAAACAGGACAGGCGTATTAGAAAAATGAATCAGCTCCCAAAAACACCATCTTATATAAAATGATGATGGGAGTTCGAGAGAGTGGGAGGTCTAGGACAGAAATCACATGAATATATTAAATCTAAAAGAGCGGTTTGTGGATCAAAGTTGGTGTGGGCTGTCACAGTCCCAATGATTGGCTTCCTTAAGACAGAAAAAAAAGCCTAAACCCAAAAGCAGTTGTTTTTGAAAACCGCCTTTAGAAGCTCTACAAATGCTCATTCCATGGAGTTGTAATCGCTTTTGATCACTGGCAAGATTAGAGTGAGAAAAACCAGAGCTGCGGGGAAAAAAAAACACACCCACCCAAAAGTGACACGGCTCGGCTTTCAAGTGGAGAGTAGAGGATGGCTCTTCTGCACTGTGTGTGTGTGTGTGTGTGTGTGTGTGTGTGTGTGTGTGTCTGTCTCAAGACGGGCAGGTGAGGTGTAGTCTGTTGAATAATTTATTCTGCTACATAGCGATGCATAAATGTACAGTTTTATAATCCAGTCCAGACATCTGATTGACAGCATGATCAAAATTGACCTCATTTACTTCCTTAGTGTCCCATGGAACACGAATAAGTCTCTTATGCTCACCAATGTCACATTTACTTGATCAAAACTACAATAAAAACCGTAATATGTGACCCTGGAGCACAAAATCAGTCTAAAGTCGCTGGGGTATATTTGTAGCAATAGCCCAAAAAAAAAAAACATTGTATGGGTCAAAATTATCAATTTTTCTTTTATGCCAAAAATCATTAGGATATTAAGTAATGATCATGTTCCATGAAGATATTTTGTAAATTTCCTACCATAAATATATCAAACCTTAATTTTTGATTAGTAATATGCATTGCTAAGAACTTCATATGGACAACTTTAAAGGTGAGTTTCTTAGTATTTTGATTTTTTTGCACCCTCAGATTCCAGATATTCAAATAGTTGTATCTCGACCAAATATTGCCCTATCCTAACAAACCTTTACATTAATGGGAAGCTTATTTAATCAGCTTTCAGATTATGTAAAAATCTCAATTTCAAAAAATTGACCGTTATGACTGGGTTTGTGGTCCAGGGACACATATTAGAACATTTTATTACCATCTAAAATAACTTTTCTCTTACATGACCCTTCAGAAATCATTGTAATATGCTGAATTGCTCCTCAAGAAACATTTCTTCTTATTATTAGAGTTGAAAAAAGTTGCTGCCTAATATTTCATGACACATTTTTCCAGGATTCTTTGATGAATAGAAAGTTCAAAAGCATATAGGAACACAGAGTGATTTTTGTGCATACTCAGTATATTCTGTAAGGAACGCTGTGTTTTGGACTGTCAGTGTTTGATTGATGAGTACAGTGCTAGATAAATGAAAGGCTTCATATCTCTTTCTCTCACTCTTCCTCTCCAATGAAATGGCTGCATTACTGGTGCAATTCAAAGAGCAGGATGGTAAATAATGACAACGCTCTGAAAACTTGGCATTCACAGACCTTTTTACAGACACATATCGGAGGGCTCCGAGTGGCAGCGGGCCATTTTGCGAGCAAATACATTCTCTCGCCTATCTGTGCACCTGCCGCAAATGAAATATTCAAATCCACAGACTCCAGCGGTCAGTGCAGGTTATGAATTATTGACTCTGTGATTCATTCACATTTCTTATTTCATGAAAGGTGCAGAGGGCATTGTGTATCTACACACAGATTCTGATTGGTGGAGAAATGGTGAGATAATCAGTGACGATCCCTCAGTAAACTGGTATAAACTAGGACCAAACTAACACTGAAATCTGAATAAGTAGG